CAACAGAACAATCAATAGTAATATCTCGAAATATCAAATATCATTTTACCGATGATCTACTCTACTTTTAATAATTTTATAATTAGTTAATTTTATGAATAAATAATTCACATTAACTTGTCTGTCATCCTGCTTAGGTGTAGTTTATTGAAAGAATATTTCTAATATTTGCTTAATAAAATTAATAACTAATTATAATTAATGATAAATATGGAACTAATATTTGCAAATTTTCAACAAAAATGTAAGCTCACATCATTAAATTATAATATATAATAAAATAAATCTAGCACTACCTAAATAAAGTCTTGAGATATTTAAAAGAACATCACCAGATGAAATTGTAGTGATTTTTTTGCGATTTCCAAGTAAGAATTTAGCAGTCAATCAAACTCCCATGTTTAGCATTTTCATAAATTCTAAATAGATTAAAACTGCTTGAAAAAAACAATAACATTATTTATTGTAACTGAAGTGACTGTAAATGATAGGTAATTTAAAGAACAATATCCATCAAAAATAATATTACATGAATACTAATAAATCAAATATAATAATCCAAGAGATCAAATGAATTTAGCATATTGAACATTTTTGAGATTAGTACCAAAAGAAATGGCACAATTAATGGATCACTTATCACAATTACACTATCACCAAATTCCAGATTATGGACTGCTAATGAAGTTAATGAATGTGAATAGTAATGATATTAATTTATAAAATATATACTCGGTTCCAGACTATAAATCATTTAGTACGACATTTCATAATGAATCTGAACAAATTGATGTCATATAAAATAAGATAAATACTTCAGAAAACGACTATTAAAAGGTTCGATAATTTAAAATGCACTGAAATAAACCTCTGAACTCCCAAAAAACATGCAAAAATATACCAATCACAGAGATTCAAAGTGAAATAATCATATTTGACGATTCAAAAATAAGAATAAGTTGCAGAATATGATGGCAAAAGATGCAAGAGATGATATGCCATTCGACTGGGAAACAACATTGAGTAATGAAAATGATGAACTTCGAGAAAGCTAATCTTATCGAAAATAGAATATAGGAAGCTGAATAAAATAATCAAGAAAGAAAGAATATAGATCACTTGAATGATTATTTTGCATAAAAATGTATTCGTTTCAAATTTGTTACGTCAATTAAAATATGTGTTACTGTTAAAGAAACTAAGCAAATAAAAACTACACTTAAATACAAAATTATGGGAAATTTAATGAACTCAAATACTAAGTAGTACGATAAAAAATATATTATAATCAAGACAAATTTTTTCATTTAAACAGATAATACACATTTTATAAATTGTATCACACTATTAGAAATTGAATATTATGCTTGTATATACAGTTTAAATTAAGGAAAGAATTTGTTAGAGAATACAAATTCTTTGAAATATGAGCAGCCTAAAATTTTGTAAGTACTACATAGTGTAGTATAGAAAAATAAAAACAAAACTAAGTCAATAAGCTGAATATAAAGTAAATTATAAGATATGCTAAAGTGAACTTGTAGAATGATCCTCATAAAGTAAAATATAGAATAGCATCGTTTTTTTTTAATATTAGTGAACAGGCATACAAAATAGCAATGCTTCTTTACTTGCAAGAAATTCCAGGCCAAGCCATTAATTCGTGATTTATCAGAAAAACTACCAGAGAAATCGTCGAAACCTGGTGAAGAAAGCGATATTCAGCAATTTCCTAAAACTTTTGGTTCACGTTTGAGGACATCTTACACCAAACTAGTTGATCTACCACCACCTCCACTTTTTGATCCGAAATTGCTTCAAGGTATTTATAAAATAAATAATAAATTCATTGCAAAAATAAAATAAAAATGAGAGGTAAATATTTAGATTAATTGGTTGTGAAGTGTTCTTTTTTATCTTTCAACGACTTAGCTTTCATTTGTTGTCTAACATTTACATAAATGACATTGCTCTATTTTCATTCATTTTAAATCACTAAAATAACTCTTAACAAGTACACAAATCATAAGTAATAATATATCTTCCTGCCGGACCAGTACAGCAAGACAGAAACATTGTTGTGCAGAAAAGATTTACTTCTGAACAGCTGAACATTAGTATAATTATGATTGTTGTCTTTACCAATATCCTTATTAAGAATAATAATGGCAATACTATAACTAACAATAATCATAACCACCCATCAAACTGTAATTATTAACACTGGAATTTACAGATTTCTCTTCAAGATAGATTATCTAAGTTTTTCAGTTTTTTTTCAAGTATAAGATCTAGTTTAAATTCCAAACTTTAGCTCTAATTTGATCTAGATGAATGTTGAAGACTCATTTCATGAATATGCGATGCTGATTCACTGCCATGGCTGAAAAATATTCATTGCTTCTGCACCTTATAGTAAGAGAAGCATTTAAATCATTTTCGTTATATAAGCGGAGTGTGTCAAGTGAAAACACGTGTGTCAAGTGAAAACACGTGTTAAAGAGTAGTGTTCAAACCTTCCATCTCTTTTTATTTAACGATTGACGTTGGA